CCTTTTAATAAACCCAGGCCTGTGAAATTTAATATGTCCAAACCTGTTCCTCCCACATTCTGTCTCACTTTGATGGATAATTCCGAGTCAGCAGGCAAAGCCATCAGTGGCACTCCCTTCTCCCTCATTCCCCACCTCCAATCCAACAGCATGTTTTGTCTTTAAAATGCCCTCAACCCTCGGACCTCTTTACATCTCATGAGTACCAACCTAGCCTTCTTTCTTTCAAGAGCCTCTTAAGAGTCTTCCTCTTGCCTTCAAACTAAAGAGCAAACACTTTACCAAAGCTTAGAGGCTCTGCCGTGAACTGGCTCCTCCCCTCCAAATCTCACCGGCACTCTCCAAACACTCCTTCCCATATGTCAAGTTTGCGCTTGTCCTAGGACCATCCCACAAGCACTTCCTGTGTCTGGAACTGTCCTCCACACACTCTGTGCATTGCAGCCTCTTTTTCCTCCTAAAAAATCTGAGCCTAAACATCCTCTGTCGACTGCCTTCTCAAGCAGATTCCATCACTCTCAACTGTAGCACTCAGGTCATTTTTTTTTGCTGTATGCATCCCACTTTGCTGTTGCTGCTCTTGGGCAGTCACTCAGTCGTGTCCAGCTCTTTGTGATCCCATGGCCTGCAGCACACCAGGCTTTCCTGTCCTTCACCATCTCCCAGAGTTTTCTCAAACTCATGTCCACTGAGCCGATGATGACATCCAACCATCTCATCCTCTGTTGTCCTCTTCTCCTCCTGCCTTCAATCTTTCCCACCATCAGGGTTTTTCCAATAAGTGGGTTCTTTGCATCAGGTGACCAAAATATTGTCACTTCAGCTTCAGCATCAGTCCTTCCAATGACTATTCAGGGTTGCTTTCCTTTAGGATTGACTGGTTTGATATCCTTGCTGTCCAAGGGACTCTCAACGGTCTTCTCCAGTACCACAGTTCAAAAGCATCAATTCTCTGGTGCTCAGCCTTCTTTATGGTCCAACTCCCGCATCTGTACATGACTACAGGAAAAACCATAGCTTTGCCTGTTTGGACCTTTATTTGGCAAGGTGATATCTCTGTTTTTTAATACACTGTCTTGGTTTGCCATTGCTTTTCTTCCAAGGAGCAAGTGTCTTTTAATTTTGTGGCTGCAGTCACAGTCTGCAGTGATTTTGGAGCCCAAGAAAATAAAATCTGTCACTGTTTCTAATTTTTCCCCATCTATTTACAGGGGAACCAGATGCCATGATCTTAGTTTTTTGAATGTTGAATTTTAAGCCAGTTTTTTCACTCTCCTCTTTCACCCTCATCAAAAAGCTCTTTAATTCCTCTTCACTTTCTGCCATTAGAGTGGCATTATCTGCATATCTGAGGTTGTTGATATTTCTCCTGGCAATCTTGATTCCAGCTTATGATTCATCCAGCCTGGCATTTCACATGATGTACTCTGTATAAAAGTTAAATAAGCAGGGTGTCAATATACAGCTTTGACATACTCCTTTCCTAATTTGGAACCAATCCATTGATTCATGTCCAGTTCTAACTGTTGCTTCTTGATATACATACATGTTTCTCAGGAGACAGGTAAGGTAGTCTGGTATTCCCATCTCTTTAAGAATTTCCCACAGTTTGTTGTGATCCACACAGTCAAAGGCTTTAGCGCAGTCAAAGAAGCAGAAGTATATGTTTTTCTGGAATTCTCTTGATTTTCTTCTAAGATCCAACAGTTTGATCTCTGGTTCCTCTGCCTTTTCTAAATCCATTTTGTACATCTGGAAGTTCTCGGTTCACATACTGCTGAAGCCTAGCTTGAAGGATTTTGAGCATTACCTTGCTAGCATGTGAAATAAGTGCAACTGTGTGGTAGTTTGAATATTCTTTGGCATTGCCTTTCTTTGGGATTGGAATGAATGCTCACATTTTCCAATCTTATGACCATTGCCGAGTTTTCCAAATTTGCTGGCATATTGAATGCAGCACTTTCACAGCATCGTGTTTTAGGATTTGAAACAGCTCACCTGGAATTCCATCACCTCCACTAGCTTTGTAGGAATGCATCCTAAGGCCTGCTTGACTTTGCATTCCAGGATGTCTGGTTCTAGTTGAGTGACCACACCATTGTGGTTATCCCAGTCACTATACCTTCTTTGTATAGTTCTTCTGTATATTCTTGCCACCTCTTCTTAATCTCTTTTTCTTCAGTTAGATCCTTGCCATTTCTGTCCTTTATTTGCATAAAATGCTCCCTTGGTATCTCCAATTTTCTTGAAGAGATCTCTAGTCTTTCCTATTCTATTGTTTCCCACTATTTCTATGCATTGTTCACTTAAAAGGCTTTCTTTTCTCTCCTTATATTCTTTGCAGTTGAAGATGGAGAAGCACTATACAGTCAGCAAAAACAAGATTTGGAGCTAACTGTGGCTCAGATCATTAACTCCTCATTGCAAAATTCAGGCTTAAATTGAAGAAAGTAGGGGAAACTACTAGGCCATTCAGATATGACCTAAATCAAATCTGTTATGATTATACATTGGAGGTGGTGAACAAATTCAAGGGACTCGATCTGATAGAGTGCCCGAAGAACTTTGGACAGAGGTTTGTAACACTGTATAGGAGGCGGTAACCAAAACCATCCCAAAGAAGGAGAAATGCAAGAAAGCAAAGTGGTTGTCTGAGGAAGCCTTACAATAGCTGAGAAAAGAAGAGAAGCAAAAGGCAAAGGAGAGAGAGAGAGATAACCAGCTGAATGCAGAGTCCCAGAGAACAGCAAGGAGCGATCAGAACACCTTCTTAAGTGAACAGTGCACCCCATCATGCCTTGATGTATTTATCTGTTCACGGAGGCTTTCCCTCAGCCTGTTACAGCTTCTCTGAGTGCAAAGGTCTTATCTGTTTTGTTCATCCAGTGCCACTCCCAGTGCTGGCCACAATACAGCCTTGATAAACATCTGTTGGATGGATTTTCTAGTTAGGAATACCACTTAATTCTTTTTTTCCCCTATTGCAAAAACCACACTTTTCATTGTAAAAAACATTAGAAGGTACACATTTTTTTAAAAAATTAAAAACACATTATTGGGTCTTTCCTGGTGGCTAATACTCTATGCTCCCAAAGCAGGTGGGGATGGGTTCAATCCCTGGTCAGGGAACTAGATCCCACATGCTGCAACTAAAAGATGCCGTGTGTCGCAACTAAGACCTGGCAGAGCCAAATAGGTTGAAAGTAAACAAAATATTTCTTAAATAGCCATGTTACCTCACATTTAGAGATAGCCACATTAGTCTTCAGATGTACTCTTCTAGGGCGATTTCAATGCATCTCTACCCACATATATAATGATATATATGCTCCTAAGTCCTTCAAATTTCTGGAGTTAAAATAGCCAAACAAAACACCTTGGTCCCCATGCAACAGACAAAGGGAACTCAAGCCTTCTAGAGGGGCTATAAAGGGGCTTGGCATCCTGGAGGAGTAAGCATTACAGATGGTGGCAATCAGTGACCAAAGCCTTCGGGGAGGTCTCTGGAAGAGGAGGAAGAGGCAGTTAGCCTGGAGAACTGCCCCAAGCTGGAGGAAAGAAGGGAACATTTGACTTGTACATAATGAACGTGCATGAAATGAAAGTCACTCAGTTGAGTCCAACTCTTTGTGACCCTATGCCAGACTCCTCTGTCCGTGGAATTCTCCAGGCAAGAATACTGGAGTGGGCTGTCATGCCCTCCTCCAGGAGATCTTCCCAACACAGGGATTGAACCCAGGTCTTCCGCATTGCTGGAAGATTCTTTACCAATTTAGCCACCAGGGAAGCCCAAGAAGAATGGAGTGGGTAGCCTATCCCTTCTCTAGCAGATCTTCCCCACCCAGGAACTGAACCAGAATCTCCTGCATTGAAGGTGGATTCTTTACCAGCTGAGCTACAAACAAATGTATTTGACTTAGTCTACTCTGTCCTAGCCAGTTTAGGTTTTTCCAACGATCTCAAAACAGCTTTTGTCATCGTTCAACCAACCTGCCCAGAAAGATGCTAAAATGAGGCCAACTGTGTTTCCAGACAACACAGAGGGAACACATCTCACTACATGAGTTTGACTCTAATCAAACTTAGCCAGGGACTTCCCTAGTGGTGCAGTGATTAAGAAGCCACTTGGCAATGCAGGGGATGTGGCTCGATCCCTGGTCAGGGAGCTGAGACCCCACGTGCTACAAGGTGACTAAGCCTGTACTGGGCAGCAAGAGAAACCTGCACGCGGCAACTAGAGCCCAGGGGCGGCAGCGAAGACCCAGCACAGCAACAGCAACTGAACCAAATGCGGGGACAGTCTGATGTCCTGGGAGCCCCCAGAGCTGTTTAGAGTATGTGTGCGGTAAAGCAGAGTTAGGATATGGGAGCCCCCAGACCGTGTCACGATTAAAACAGATGGACAGTCCCTGGTCAGCTCCTTTGCAAGTGAGTCCACTTTCCCAACAACCCTGCACCTCAGGGGAGGTGTTTTTTACCCCTTTCACAGGGAGGTTAAGTAACTTGCCCAGAGTGACTCAGCCGGAAGGGGCAGAGCTGAGGTTGGAACCCAGTCTGTTTGGCCTCAAAACCTGAATTCTTTCTGTGGCTTAGGAAGCTGGATCTACAGGGCTGTCCATGGCACAATCTTGTGTATTTGTTAGAAATAACGATAACAACTAGCATTTAGTGTATTGGTCACTGAAAACTCTGTAAAGCAGGCACAGTTATTTTCTTGCCTTTGCAGATAAGGAGACTGAGAGTGGGAGACTGAATAACTTGCCCAACATCATACTACTAGCAAACAGCTGAGCTAGGATTCAAACCCAGAGAGTCTGGCTCCAAAACCCACTCCATTTATGCCCCTCCTGCCAGAAACAGGGGCCAGAAGCTGGTAGACATGAACTACCACAGAGTTTTGGGCAGGGCTGGGGTGGGCGGTGGGGGGAGGATGTGACTGTACAGATAGTGAAAGCATGAGCTTTGCAGTCAGGCAGTTTCAAGTTCACATCTACCCTCACCTTGGGGGCTTCCAGCATTCCTTCTCCACCCCCAAACAACTCTGGCTGTTGTTTTCCGGGGTGGTGGTGTGCACACACAAGAGGAACAAAAGTGCCATAACCCAGCCGGGGCTCTCCTGTCTCCTGCGTCCAGCTGCTCCCTCTTTTCACCCAGGGTCTGCAGACCGCTGAACTCGGCAGCTTCTCAATGTCTCCTAGAAGGATAACTCACCACAACAGGAAACAACAGAAACATTACTGGAGATTTCAGAGCAGAGCCCACAACTCACAGGAAACAATTTCTTTTTTTTTTAATTAAATATTTATTTGGCTGCGTTGAGTCTTAGTTGTGGCACTAGTTAGTTGCCCCAAGCCTTAGTTGCCCCAAGGCATGTGGGATCTTAGTTCCCCAACCAGGGATCAAAGCCGAGCCTCCGGCATTGGAAGGCAGATTCTTGACCACCTGACCACCAGGGAAGTCCCAACAATTTCATTTTTATTCTTCCGTACTTCTTTGCAGCCCATGGCCCATTTGTTGGTCACCCCTCCCCCTAACCTGCCCACATCCCCACCCGCCACGTCCCTTGCCCGAGGAGGCAGGTAATGGCCCAGGAAGGACTTTCTACTTTTCTGGGTTTTTCCCTTCTTCCTCTCCCCTTCTCACCCCCTACACACCCAGATTCCTCTTGCAGGCCCTCTCACTTGAGTTGGCGAACCACATCCCCTGGGTGCAGCCCTCCAGCCCCAGTGATTTGTTAAAGGCTTTATTCCAAAGAAGTGGTGTTCTCCTTCTGCCTGGAATCTCTGTTAAACACAGTAGCTCCTCTACCAACCTCCTTTACTGACGCTCTTTCGAAAAAGGAAGGCAGTGGAGAGCTGTTGTGCCTGGGAGGGGAGGGCAGGGGAGGCATTCAGCTGCCTCGGCCTGGGCTGGCCTCTCCCCCATCTCCTCTGTGTGGAGAGGTCACTGGTTTCAAAGGTCTCGGCAAGTCTGTCCTGGGCTCCCATCTTTCCATCTCTGGATTTCTAGCCCATTCTAACAGCGAGAGGGATTTGTCTCCGGTGAAGGTTGCCTAAGGCAGTGGCAGGAATCTCTCAGCAATTACCTTGAAGAACCCTCCCTGGAGAACACATTCTTTTGCTTCCAAATTGGAAAACGCACACGTCATGCCAACTAGGCCAGAGGGGACTTGGACCTTTACCAGCTGAAACGTTAACAGTCTTTAAAGGGAAAGTGAACAAGGAGCAAAGGCAAACTTTCAGCCTCTGGGGCAGCAGGCAGGTGGCTTTTAAAGAAAAAGCCCAAGAGAATAATGAGCTGTGTTGCTGGTGGAACACACTGGAATGTGATTCTAAAATCCATCAATGATTAAAGTTACATGCCCAGTCTTTTTCTTTTCCCCTCCAAGAGATTATAGATTTCATTCCCTAGTTCTACAACCCCCTCCTTTACCCAGAGGTGAAATGTCTATTTCAAAAAAGACCGATGACATCAGAAACCTCCAAAAGTTCATACATAAATGGATACTTGGACTTGGGAAGATTAATGGTCATATAACAGAGTGACTGAGAATGGTGACAGATTGGACTAATGGCTTTGAGGTGCACTGTGATTTTGGGGGGCAGACAGATTTGTTATCTTTACTAGGCTTTGCCTAAGACAACACTCCACTTTGTTTTTCACAGGTGAACCCTGATTGGAGTAGTTCAGAGGTGTGCAGACTGGTGAGAAGAAATTGGCTCAGATTAACATTTGGCTTTGTATAAACACAAACTGGATGCCCCCTCCACAGTTTGCTTGAGAGGTGACTGCAAGCAGCCAAAACTTCAACCAGGATGAGTTAGAGAGAAAAAGTAGATCTTGTAGGAACTGGCCAGGCCTATCACATGTGGTTTGGCAGCAAGGACCGTGAGCCTGGGGAGATCTGGCCTGGAGAGAATTCTTTATACCAGAGGACAGCCAATAAAGCTATGTCATTGCTGATGATATTTCGTTCTGGAGAGGCTGCTCTTTGCTTTTGAATCTGTTTTTGACTGCTGAAAAATTCCATTGGCAGGAAAGAGCAAGAACCAGGATTGCTTCTAAACATCTCAGCAAAATATTTCACTTCCTTCGCTGCTTCCAGACATGAGTCCCTTTTTTTTATGAACAACAACAAAATCCCTGATTCCCCATTCCCAACAGATCATAGATCTGAGCCCCAAGTATCTGTGTTTTCCCCAAAATGCATTCTAACACAACATTCTTTTGACTTGGCATTTTGTTTCTCATTTTTCAGATTGACGTTGTTGTTTCAAAATATTTTCTCAGGGATTTCTTTTTCCAAGCTCAGAGGCAAACAGGGCTAGACTTGGGCTTTAGCAAATTAAAGCAGGTTATTCTTCTCAGAGCAGAGTTAAATGTGTTCCCAGAGAAATGCCAAATGCCACTTTATTTTTGGTTGCTGTTCTCTCAAGAGGGCCTTTTAATAGTTCTTGGAGTAGGGATGGTAATCTCTGGAAACAAGATAAACTGGGAGATATTCACCATTCTCCTACTCCTTTCTTTTCTTTGACACTTGAGGCAACTAAAGTGGAAGCTGGATGTCATGAATCCCATAGTTTTACTTGGAATTTCCTCCTATTGACAGTGAAGTTTTCCTTTTTGCTAGAATCAGGAATATTTAAACCAAACCTCATAACATGGTCTTAAAGTACATTTGAAATGCTTTTTTCCCATGGCAGTAACTCTTCCCTTCCCTGGGCTGGTAAAAAAGCGTGTGTAACAATGCTGTTTCCAGTTTCTAAAACCACACTGTGTTTGAATTAGGTTTGGCTGTTCTGGTAGAAATCCCAAACCACCAGTAGCTTGCAATGAACTTTCTCTCTCCTGTGCAAAGAGAGGAGAAACAGTGGAAAAGGGGGGTCCACTCCTCAAAGTTCTCAGTGACCCTGGCCTCTTCCAGCGTGTCACCCCACCAAGCCTAGGCTCTTGTCCTCATGTTCATTATCCTGAATGATTGAACCCGTATTTCTAGCTGGCAAAGTTAAAAAAAGAAAAGAGAGATAAAATAAGGCAAAATGCACCCATTGAAGAAGGCTTCCAGCTACTGCGAAGAGAATGTGCGTGTGTGTGCGTGGTAAGTCAGAGTCACATCTGACCCTATGAACTATAGCCCACCAGTCTCCTTTGTCCGTGAGATTCTCCAGGCAAGAACACTGGAGTGGCTTGCCATGCCCTACTCCAGGGTATCCTCCTGACCCAGGGATTGAACCTGAGTCTGCTGCGGCTCCTGCATTGCAGGTGGATACTTTATCACTGGGCCACTGGCAAAGCCTGTCAAGAGAACTCTTCTGTTGCTTATATCCCACTGGTCAGAACTTCATCACTTAGCTACAAGGGGGGTTGGAAAATGTAGCCCTTTTTTCCTGAATGGCTGCATGCACAGTTAAAAATTATATTTCTAGGGGAATTTCCTGGTGCTCCAGAGGTTATAATTCTGGGCTTTCACTGCCCAGGGTCTGGGCTTAATTCTTGGTTGAGGAACTAAGATCCCATGAGCCATGTGGTGCAGCCCTCCCTCCCCACCAAAAAAACCTTAAATTATATTTCTGTGATATACACTCTAGGTCCTATGTTCTTAAATTTAATGTTCCTTATCAATTTTATCTGGAATTTGAATCACCTTTTGAGATAATGATATGAGACGGTATAAAATCAGTATTAGAAATGCCCTATTCTGTAATATTCATACTCTTTTACCAGTAATTTTGCTTTTGGTAGTCCCTACACTAAGTAATTAACTCAAAATTTCAGAAAAGGCTTTAAACAAAAATAATACTCATTGCATAGTTATATATAATCACACATAACAAAAGGAATCAAAATGCCAAAATATGAGAGACTGATCAAATAAACCATGCAACATGTCCTTAAGGAAATATTATGCATCTTTTAAAAATTAAGTTTACAGGGAATCCCCTGGTGGTCCAGTGGTCAAGAACTAGTGTTTTCACTACTGGGGCCCAGGTTCAATTTCCGGTCAGGGAATTAAGGTCCTGTGAACCACATGCTGTGCAAAAAAAAAAAGTTTACAATGAATCCACAGTAACTTAGAAAACTGCTTACCCTGTTAAATAAAAATATAGGGATATAAACTTGCAGTACAGTTACAACTAACCTATATATAAAAAAGAAAAACAGAAAACAAGCAAACAAAAATCAAACATTAAAATCCAAACCCCAGTGGCTTTTTGGTTAATGAGAATTTTAATGACAGTTTTTCCTACATTTCTTTATTTTCCAATTTTTCTTACTATTATACTTAATATTATATTAGAAGTAATAAATCCATCCTATCTTCTTGTCTCTCTCGGTACCTACATTTTACCCATCTCATCGAGCTCAGTTTGATTCTTCCTCCTATACAAAAGCTTTTCCTGGTCACCCCCTGTCACTTTTGCATTACTATTATTACCACTTAAAATGGAGAGCCAGCTTTTTTGACTTGCCATCATCAAGAGGAATTCTCTGCTGGAAGAGCCGGGGTCTCAAGGCGGGTAGATGTCCCTTCTCCCTGCGCCTTGGCAGATATGATGTAGTGCTAGGGTCCAGGCACACTAATCAGATGACACAAAGCATGGGATATGCTTTAAAATAGTTCATTTCAGGGGAAGGAGGCTAGAATAGGTGAAATAAATTTGTTCATGAGTTGACAATTGTTGGAAAAGAATGATAGATGCATAGTGATTTGTTATATCATTGTCTCTACTTTTGTTTGAAATTTTGTTTGAAAAATTTCCACTAATTTTTAAAAAATATACTTAGAATTTACCCCAGGTTCTAAAACTGGCCAGTTTGCAATTTCAACAGTTCATTTAATTAGGGTTTTAACTGGGAACAAGGCCATCAGTAAATTTTAAGGCAGGAGGCAAGTGTTATCACCTGCCTCAGTAAGGGCTGTTTCAATTGTAAGTGAAGGAAAATATGATTCAAAATGCTTTAAGTAATTTATTGGATCCCATATATGAGAAGTCGGAAAACACTTCTCACTGCAGCTTGTTAACCTAAAACAATAAACAGTGAGTAATTTTTATCAGCAAAAAAGGGGTTTATATGGGGGCAGCAAAAATTACAGTT